ACGCACAGCGCATGCCAGCCCGCACCGCGCGTGCTGCACCTTTGCAGCGACAGGCCATGCACAGCAGGCAAGAGGCAGTTCGGCACTGCAGCGATGAGCAAGGAATGCATTTAATCTCAATGCGGGTACGGCGGTACCAGTCAGGGCTTCGGCGTTGCTGGTGTGGCCGCACCCGCCACACGTGGACACTCCCATCTGTGAAATCAGTTTCATCCGTGACCGCTCCCACGTCGTCGTAAAAAATGCCTGTGGCGTCATCCTCGTCTTGCTTGAAGGCCGTGGTGCCGTTTGCAGTCACGCGGCGCTCGCGCGAGTCCTGCACCTTCCGTTCATTTTTGACATGTTTGCCGTTGGCGGCGGGTATTCCTTGATGTGCTCCTCGGCCTTGCGAATGGCGTAATTCCGCTTGCGCTGCATGTCAGCGCGGGCCGGCTTAATCAGCAGTTTCGCGTCGCCCACGCGAAGCTCAACCTTGGAAGATGAAGCCATGGATAAGAACGACTTTGTCACATCGACGCTGGAGAATTCAACCCGAGACCCCCTTGACAATTTCCCAAAACCCATGGGTGGGAACGTGCTGAAATGGTATTTGAGGAAAGCCTGCATCTTTGCAATGCGCTCATCAGCATCAACTTCCTCGGGCCACCCGACAAATGCAACGCGACGTCTAGCAGGGTCAATACGATTGACGTGCATCTGCATGTCCTTGATGGCGCTGTTTGTGATGTCTGGGACGCACGGCTTGGATTCCAGCTTGGCGACGCGAGTACCCAGCTCGTTGCAGAGCTTGTTCAAGGGTTTCACAGCTTCGGAGACGCTGACCTTGATCTCCTTGTTGACCTGCTTTTTGCAATCCTCGAGGTCGGACTTCAAGGCCATGCTGTCCATCTTCTCTGAAAGCGCACTGATGGCATCGAGGACCTCCATGTTCGGGGACTGCGCGGTGGCGGGGCCATCCTGTGATCCAGACCCTGGTGTCTGAGAGCTCAGAGACTCCCTCAGGCGCTTGATCTTCTCGAGCTTCTCCTTGACTGGAGACGCTGAAGGTCCACGCTTGGCGGTCGATGCGAAGGCACTGTCGAGGCTCCTCTGCGTGGCCATGGCGGCGCTGTAAAGAATGGGCGGTAAAGGACATGTAAAGGAGACAGGGTGGTTGTGGGAGTTCTTTGCACTCGTGGTGTCTGAGGCAGAGGACCCCCTGGAATTCCCGGCGCGGAGGACCCCCCGGAATTCCCGGCGCTTGGCCTTGAGCCAAACGGCTCGAACTGTTGGCCTTGAGCCAAGCGGCCTATTTGGCCTCTCTCTTCTCTCTAGCCGCGTCGGCTGAAACTGCGATTTTGCGGAGGGGCCCGCGTGCGCGCACGCGCGCGCGCCCCTGAACCCACGGACCCCACGCCACCCGATAAGAGTGGGAGGAGTTGCGCAAGAGTCCCGAGGTCGAAGAGCTCTCGGAGAAGCTCAATAATGTGGCCCAGAAAGCCTCCAAGGGCATGAAGGGTCGTACCAAAGGCACCCCAGCGAGCTGGGGCAAGGACGCCAATGGCCAGGCCCACTAGGGACAGCGCCAGCCGGGCGACGAATATACCGACGCCGAGGAAGCGAATGTCATTGAATTTGTTGTTATCTGCAAGAATGCACACGTGCATGATACAGACAGATTTGGGCAGAGGCTTGGCGAGCTTTGGGATTTAGATTGGGATGTCTTGCGTCTAAGTGAAACCAGGGCCAGTACGTGGGATGTCGATCTAGACGGTGGCCATCGCTTGCTATCCGCATTGGGCACTCCCGCGTCCCCCACCCGCGGCCCGCCCGCGACTACTCCGCAGCCCACCCGCGGCCCACCCGTGGCCTACCCGCGGCTCACCCGCGGCCCACCCACGACCCACCCGCAGCCCACCCCGCGACCCATCCGCGGCCCCCACCCGCGGCCAACCCGCGAGTCCTCCGCGGCCCGCCCCGCGAGACCCACTCGCTGCACTGCGGCCCAACCAGGTCGACGACCCCGCGGCGGGCCGACCGACCCACGCGCGTTCGCTGCTCTCGGCAGTGAGAGCGCGGCGCCTGCAGCGAGCCGAGCTTCGTTTATCTGTGAGGGCACCATTGTGCCCCCTAATTAGCCCCAGCGGTCTCGCAGTCCGCAACTGTGGGGGGCTATATATATATATATATACACATACATAAATATATATATATATATATAAACATATATATACATATATATATATATATATATATATATATATAGATATATATAAACATGTGGTTCCTCGACGCTAGGATCACGTCCGCCCCAAATACACAGAAACGCAAGGCTTAGCTGACGCGGAGGCCGCACGCAGAGTAAAACAAACGTGAGGTGCGCAGGAGGTTTTGTCACCGCCGGGCACACCCGATTGCTCGACCTGATGCGGTGTAAGCCTGGCCCACGGTTAGTGCATGGGAGTGGCCGGCACGATGAGCATCGCGCTTTTGTGCATTGTTGAGAGAGTAAAACTTTTGTACACTGCAGGCCATTTCTTTATTGCTTGGGGAATGACGGGCGTCATGCCCCCCGTTCCCCCTCCCCCCCCCTAGGACGTAACGCTACCCCCCCAGTGCGCTCCGGGCACTGCCGCCTTGCGCATTGGGATCCGCGTAGGTGTCCGCGTAGGAATCCGCATAGGTGTCTGGTCCGCAGGCGTCGTCGTCGTCGTCGTCGTCGTCGTCGTCGTCGTCGTTCGTCGTCGTCGCTCGCGGTTCGTCGCTCGTCGCTCATCGTCGTCGTGCGCGCGGACGCGGCTGGAGCCTGTTTTTAAGTCCGGGCCGATGACGGCAATCATCTGGGGGGAGAGGGGGTCGATGACGTCACGTTTCGCGCCGGCGGCGTTTGGGAATGGTTAGGAATGACGGAGGACGGGTAGCACGAACATGCAAGTGGCGATATACAACACAACGCCTGTGTACATCACAGTGCCCGCGTGCACCACAGCGCCTGTGTACACCACACCGCCGATGTGCACCACCGCAGCCGCGTGCAACACAGCGTCACTTTGTGCCACCGTGCCTGCGGGCACAGCAGCTCCTGTGTACACCACAGCGCCTCCGTACACCGCATCAGCCGTGCGCAACACAGCACCAGTGTACACCACAATGCCTGCGTGTATTGCAGTGCCTGTGTACGCCACGGCGCCTGTGTGCACGACATCAGCCGCGTGCAACACAGCACCATTGTTGTGTATAGAATTTCAGAAGGAATCCTTGTGACAAAATGGAACGCGTGTGGATTCCAGAAGAACAATTGGAAACACATTTTCATGGACAAAGGAGCGCCGCTGGAATCTACGAGTCCCCCCGAGTCCGCCCGCATCACCCTAACTCCCATTTGCGTCCAGGAGGCTCCAGCTACATTGCCCTTCCGAGAACCAAGTGGACCGATTCAATCGACCATTTTGCGGTGCACGCTGAGATGCGCCCGTGCGTTGTAACGCCAAGCCGCACGACAGGGGGCAAAAAGGAGGAAGGAGGACACGGAGGAGGAGGAGGAGGTGGAGGAGGAGGGAGGAGGGGAAAACGTCGCATTCGATTATCAGAACCTTCTTGGCGTGGCGTTTAGTCGCCCGCATCAGATCCTGATGTACATGCTCTTCCTACCTGTCTTACGCGCGCAGGCATTGTGGTGTACACCAGCGCTGCGCTGCACGCAGATACTGTTGTGTTGACAGGCGCTGTGGCGTGCACAGGCGCTGCGGTGCACGCAAGCACTGTGGTGTACACAGGCGTTGTGTTGCACATGGCTGCTGCGGTGTATGTACACTGGCGCTGTAGTGTTCCCAAGTATTGTGGTATACACGGGCGGTGCGTTGCACACGGCTGTTGCAGTGTACGCAGGCGCTGTGGTGCACACGCGCTGTGGTGCACGCGAGCGTTGTAGTGCACACAGGCGCAATGGGCAGATCGCCACTTACATGCTGCTCGCGTCGTCGTCGTCGCTCGTCGCTCGTCGCTCGTCGCGTCGTGCGCGCGGGCGCGGCTGTGGTGCCGGAGCCACACGGCGGGGGGGGGGGCGTCACGTCATACCCCCCCCCGCCCTCCCCCCCCCATGACGCCCGTCATCGCCGAACATAAAGAAACGCCTTCCTGGGAGGGAGGGAGGCGCTTGAAGGAGGAGGGTGAGGAACGCATAGCGTCCCAGCACTTCGTGCGCCTGCTGTCGCACAAGTGCGCAAGCAGGCGGAACCTAGATCAGAATTGGGTCTTGCACTTAGCCAACGCCATTGGCCAGGCAGAGAATTCGTTGCGGTGCCTTCACACCGTGCTCGGTGCGCATCTAGGAACGCAGAGCGCGAGACGTGGCAAATGCAGAGGAGCACTGGGAGCACTGGTGCGCTGTAACAGGCGCGTCGCGAGAAGGAACGAGGCCCGCCCCTAGGTCGCACGCAGACTCAACGAAGTATATTAACTTCTATGCCTGGGACCAGCGAGCTGGCTTGCATACTATGATTTGAAGCCAGGGCCCGAAATCCTCTGTCGGATCTGAGAGCGCAGAGCATGAGCATAAGGCGGCCATGCGCCAAAGGCACTTGAGGTTATCCAGAAGCTGTGAAACCCAAGGGACTGGCGGGTGGCCGTAGGTTTAAGCGAGGAGGGCGCGGAGTTCAGGAAGACCGTGCCGGACGACGTGGATGAGATAGGCAAGCCGCTTTCGAATGAGGACGCAGTCCACGGATTGAGCCTTGATGAGTCGACGCACGTCAATGTCAGCCATCATCGACGTGCAAATCTATGTATATACACACATATATAGACGATGCATATATATATATATATATATATATATATATATATATGTATCCGCTACAGCGGGGGCTACGTGTGTGTCTTATAGATGTGTACGTACATGTAGAGTTGTATCTGTATCTGTATGTACACACACGTACATGTGTGTATACACAGGCACGAATGCGTTCGCAATGGGAAGCATGAGTGGAAAAGCACGCTCAGGAGACCAGAGCGCCGGAGTCATGGAGGCCGAGTTCAAGCGGCTGCTGGCCGGTCCGCGGCGCGAATTGGACATCGGCATCGGCATGGTCTGCCACTTGGGCACCGGCGGCGTGGCCGACTCGCTCAGGAAGGTCGCGGAGCTGCAACGCGTGAACGTGGACGCGAGGGAGCGGCGGATTCACCTTCTGGTTCGGCCTCCCTCTATGGATCCTACTCCTGCTCTGCTGCTCTTCTGGGCACGTCAGCTTCACAAAAGTAAGCTTGTGCACTGCGCCTGGACTTCTCTGGGCACGTCAGCTCTGGCTCCGTCTTCAGCTGCGCGTGCACTGCACAGTGCCTTCGGGCCAGCTTCCCCGAGTCGGTTTCCCGCTCGCTCGCAGCGGTGCCTCCTTCCTTTCCTCCTTCACTACCTCCACCCGTGAGGTCTGTGGCGGAGACGGCACTGTGACCTGGGTCCTCTCCGAGATCGAGGCGTTCATGCAGGCGCACCCCGACGTGCTGAGGCACCAGCCGCCCATAGGCGTCGTGCCCATGGGCACGGGCAACGACCTCGCCCGCTCGCTGGGCTGGGATTCCAAGTTCCGTGACTCGGCGCACGTGGCCAGGTACGTGCATAACGCTTTGGAGGGCACGGTGGTGGAGCTGGACCAGTGGAAGGTGACGCTCAGGCCCAAGTCGTTGCTGCCCCCCGCCCTGCACTCGGTGCACGGGCTGGAGCACGTGGCGTACTTCCAGAACTACTTCTCGGTCGGCATGGACGCGCAGATCACGCACGGCGTGCACCTCGCGCGCCGCGACTCTTGCGGCAGGTGCTGCTTCCGCGCGGGAATCGGCAAGGTCTGCTACGTGGTGCACGCCCCGTGCAGATGTTGCTGCTGCGCATCGCCGACCCTGGACCTGCAGGTCAACTACGTCCCCGCGGATTCCCACAACTCGGCGGCGTTGCCGATGGTACTCGGCGAGGCGCGCCAGTTTACGATGAGCAACATCAACTCCTACGGCGCCGGCCGGGTGCTGTTCTCGAGCGAGGACCTGGAGAGGGTACGGCCCAATGACGGGCTGCTGGAGGTCTTCACGGTCGCCGACCCGCTGGCGCTCGGGCTGCTCAGCAACCCGCTCGTTGCGCGATCCACCCCGTTCCAGCAGGCGCGCAGGGTCGAGATGACGCTCGGCGGCGGGCAGTTTTTCCAGCTGGATGGCGATCGGCACAACCCAAACAAGCTTCTGCTGTGTGGGCGTCAGTCCCCCCACGGGCCACGCGCCCGCGCGCCCTTAGAATTCTGAACAGCACAAGCTCCGTTGCGGACGCCTTCTGGCCATGCCGTTCGGGAAATGATCACTCGATAGACAAAGATCTGTGTATTCTGTGCTTCGTGTCGGACGTGCGCCTGCAAAATCAGACACACGCAGTACTAGTACAGTCAACGCGCCTAGTAAGGACGCGCGCCTTTCTCTAGCTTACCCTTGTGTCCTTGCCTCTGCGGTCCGTTCTTTGCCGTTTTGACTGGTCGCCCGTCGCCCAACAAGTCCCAATTTCGGCCTCTAAGGGTCTTGCGTCCGCACCACCCGTCCTTGCAGTCGGCCCTGATTTGTAGGTCGACCCTGGCAAATCAAGGGTCCCTTGTGTCCCGTGTGTCGCGGCCCCTGCCTCCTACATTCCTGTGGCAATTTGGCCCTGGAGAGGATCTTGTGTTCTCTCGCGTGCCCTGTAAAATCAGGTCCGACTGTACTACACGTTCTGACTGTATGTCCTTCTGCGTCCCAGGCGAGCCCTTCTTTGTTGACGCGGAGTGCCGCGTGACCGTGGAGCACCACCGGAAGGTGCGGCTGCTCTGTCCGCCCGAGGGGCGCGCGGGTCAGCACGCCGCTGGGGGCGTGTGGCGCGGCCGGCAAAAACGCGCCTTCTGGCGCGATGCCGCCCCGCTGGTCCTGACGCCCGGCGCCACGCCGCAGCCCCGGCGGGCGGCGGGCGCGCAGGCGTGAGCCGAAGGCCGGGTGCGGCCGAGAGGTGGTTCTCAGAGCTGTTCTCGCCACGGGGTGCTTTCCAGCAACTGCGCCTCGTCGAGGGCTCTCCGGAAGGTGCCCGGATCGTCCTGAGCGTCCGCCGGGGGCCCGAGCTTTGGCTCCAAACCCACCAGGTTCTAGATGAGGGGGGCGATGACTTAGGGGGGGATCTCATGGACGGGGCCACGAGGACTCCCCGAATCTTATGGCCTCCTTTTCGTACTTCTGCACGCCACTCCCTCCGTCGTCGCGCACATGCCTCTGGCCATGATCTGCGACCCCCCTTGTTGGACCCCCTTCTTTTAGGGGGGGGGGGAGATCGGTATAAAATAAACTGTTCCACCTTCTGGGGCGCCTGTCCCAGGGCGGCTGAAAAGCTGATACCCCTCTGGTGCCGCGCAGGAGTATGAACTTCCCAGCCGCCTGGGGGGCAGGCGCGCCCGACGGCGGAACAGCTTATCTTATCAGAGTGAGGAGGCCGCACGGTCATTCACTGTCCCTGGATGCATGGCTGAAGTGGGATTCCGTGATGCGGATTATTGTTGTTGTTGTTGGTGGTGTTGTCGTTGTTGCTGTTGCTGTTGCTGTTGCTGCTGTTGGTGTTGATGCTGGTGTTGTTGGTGTTGTTGGTGTTGCTGTTGTTGGTGTTGTTGGTGTTGTTGTTGATGCTGTTGCTGTTGCTGTTGCTGTTGTTGCTGCTGTTTCTGTTGCTGTTGCTGTTGCTGTTGCTGTTGTTGTTCTTGTTGAACTCTCATTTTTGAAGAATAATTATTGTTGATCCCCCCACACCGGTGCATATGGTTTTTCTCCGTCAAAGTGTGCCCCATCGACGCTCGCACTCTGTTTTTTGACAGGGGAAGTATTCCTGGTCCAACTGGGCTCCTGGCCACCCAGACTACAACAACAACGGCTCCCGCCTGAGACTTCTTCCAAATTTACTCGGGACCCCCGCTCCCGCCTGAGATCTCCTTCCAATTTACTCAGGATCGGCGCTCCCGCCTGTGACGTCCTCGCAATTTTTCTCAGGACCCCCCTCCCGTCTGAGGCTTCCTTACAATTTACTCAAGAACGGCGCTCCCGCTTAAGATTTCCTTGCGCTTTAGTCTAGGCCCCCGCTCCCGCCAGACATCCCCTTTTCAGGAATTGCGTTATCGCCTGTGATTTGTTCGCAGTTTATTCAGAAATCGCGGATATCTACGCTCAGGCACCACGCTCGCGCCAAGGACGCCGTCACAGTTTACTTAGAAATCGCGCTCTTGCCCTACTCAGGCATCCCGCTTGAATGTCCCACCCGCCCGACCCGCCCGTCAGAGGATCGCCCGCCCGTCGTGGGCTGCGGCCCGAGACTTCCTTGTGGAATGGCGCTTATCTTTTAGGACTTCTTTGAACGTTCGCACTCTTACCTTCCTGCTCCTCCCTCCTCCCGGGCCGCCTCCCCCCTCCTGCCGATTCCCTCTCCCTCGCTTCCAACACTTCTCCCAGCAGCACCAGAGGTGTTATATGGCGCAGTTTATGGCGCGACCCATGGCGAAGCCTTTGTTAACCTGTGTTGGAATGGCTGGCGCAAGCCATGGCGCCAGCTGAATCGCAACTCGCGGCACAAGTCATCGTCGTCCCTCCCTCTTGCCCCTTTCATCCCTCCCTTCCTCCAATCCCTTCGTCCTCTCTTTTTGTCTTTTCACTTTCGTTTCCCTGTTTGGGGGCTTCTCCAATTCCACGTGGCCAGGAAGGAATACAATCCTCCAAAAGGGGGCACGATCGAAGACGAAGAGGGCGGGTATCCAGGGTTTGAGGTACGCATAGTGAATGGCACGCGGGACGGTAGGAGCGAACAGTCTTGGAATGATTGTTGTTGCTGTTGAATGTTAATTACTGAATAATTGTTATTCTTGGCTCTCGCCGAGGCGCTGGCTACATGCTACATTTTCATTGAAAATGAGGCTCACGATCGAGCGGTTTGGGGGACCGCCAAAAGCGGCCCCCCAACAACAACAACAACAACAACAACAACAACAACAACAACAACAACAACGCTCCCGCTCGAGACTCCCCCCTTTTTACTCAGGGCTGGTGTTCTTGCTGGCCGCCGAACGTCGCCGTCCTAACAAAACCAGCGCTCCCGCTCGAGACTTCCTCCCGTTTTGCCTTGGACTGGCGCGCTAGTCTTTCTCTCATCGGCGCCGCCCCCAGCAAAAGCAACGCTCTCGCTCAAGGCTTCCTTCTTTTTTACTCAAGGCGGTGCTCCTCCTCGCCGCCGAAAACCGCCGCCCCGACAAAACCAGCGCTCCCGCCCGAGATTTCCTTCCGTTCTACGCTGGACTGGCGCCCAACTCTCTTTTGAATTGGCGCCGTTCCCAGCAAGAACAACGCTCCCGCTCGAGATGTCCTTTCTTTTTCCTCGGGACCGTGCTGCTCCTCGCCGACAGCCCCCGTCCTGACAAAACCACGGCTCCCGCTCGATGCTTCCTCCCTTCTTACTCAAGGCGGTGTTTTTCCTCGCCGCCGGAAACCGCCGCCCCGACAAATCCAGCGCTCCCGCCCGAGATTTCCTTCCGTTCTACGCTGGACTGGCGCCCAACTCTCTTTTGAATTGGCGCCGTTCCCAGCAAGAACAACGCTCCTGCTCGAGATGTCCTTTCTTTTTCCTCGGGACCGTGCTGTTCCTCGCCGCTGACAGCCCCCGTCCCGACAAAACCACGGCTCCCGCTCGATGCTGCCTCTCTTTTTTTTTCAAGGCGGTGCCCCTCCTCGCCACCGAACGCCGCCGTCCCAACAAAACCAGCGCTCCCGCCCGAGACTTCGTTTTGTTTTACGCTGCACTAGCGCCCTACTCTCTTCAGCATTGGCGCCGGTCCCAACAATAACAGCAGCCCTGCTCGAGATTTCTTCCCTTTCCTATTCAGGGCCAGGTCCTTGCCTCACCTCCGACAGCCCCCATCCCCACCAAGGCAATCCTGTCGTTCGATACTTCCTTTTGCTTTACCCTTCGCTGGGGTTCCACTGGCGGTCTTGCATC